AAATTTTATATGTTTATTTCTTAATTTGTATTAAGGATAGGCAGGGTTGTTATTTTTATTTGAGAGTTCAGTGTAGATATTCTCATTATAAACATACATTTTGTTTGGTGATACACACTATAAATATTTGTAATCCTTTCATAATTACAATATTAGGTAATTATGGATGAAACATAATTTAATCATTTGAGTTTAAAATGAATAAAATTTAATAATTTAATCAATTGAGTTTAATAACAATATTAGGTGATTACGGATGGAACATAATTTAATCAATTGAGATTAAAGTACATAATATTTTAGATGGACTTAAGATAATTCCCACCACTTATATAATTAAAAAGGACCACATAATTAAATAAGACTTACCTGCATAAATCTAAATTATAACGTTATAAGTTTTAATATCCAAAATTTAACATAAAAAATTTGCTATAAATTAAACCGAACCATTCGTAAGAATTCTTTATTTTGTTTTATTTTATTTTATTTTTTTGGCCTTTATAGATTTGGCCTCTTCTTCTTGGGGTAGCAAAGCGTGTTTTGAGGGGAGAGAGAGTGAGTAAGTATGTGTTTTAAAATTTGAAATTGAAAAAGTGAGGTTAGCGAGAAAGGATGGATGGATGGGTGGGGGTAAAGAGTTTTTTTTTTTGTTTTTTTTGGCCTGCTGTGGCTTTTGGGCACAAAGTGTGTTTTGTTGTTCATCACTACCACCGCCACTGCCACCGTCGCCTCACTTTCTTGGGAACAAATTATGTTTTTGTTTTTATTTTTGTTAGTATTTATTTTATACAAAATATAAAAAAAAAATTAAAATGTATTATTTACTATAATTTGAGTTCAAATACTCAAAATATATAAAAACACATAAATCATGCAAAATTATAAATTTTGAAGAATCCTTGACTGCTACTAAATGATTAATTGCTAATGAATAGAGTTTATTGATTCTAAGTGAACTAAAACCTTAATTTCACTTAATTTTGAAGAATCTTTGACTGCTACTAAATGTTTGATTGCTAATGAATAGACTTTATTGATTCTTATATTCTTATTTTTTGAATCCACAAGTGTCTCTCTCTATCTAAAACCAAAAATGACTTTGACTGGAAACTTCCATAACTTCTATAATAGATTGGGGTCAATAGTATAATGATTTCTTAATGGTGGTTATCACTTGGCTGGTGATATTTTTGAGTTTGTTTCATGGTTTCTCATGGTTGTTCTGATTCAAAAAATAGTATAATGATTCTGTTTTTGATAGATTGGGGTAAATAGTAATGTTTTGATTGGGGTAAATGATTGTTTTGATTCAAAAAGTGGTAATGTTTTTTTATTTTTTTGATTTTTTTTTATCCAGTTAAATTTTCAATCTTAGAGCATTCTTTGTTTTTTTAGAAAATTTGTGTTAGAATGTTTGGTGCCGCTTTTGCCAATAACTTATGAGATTTTGCTTAATTCTATTGTATGTGTATTTTTTAATTTTGTTTTTTTATTTATTTGAAAGAGTTGTTCGATGTTCTGATTGTTCTCTCACCTTCCCTGACGAGGTCGATCTCTCTCTGTCTCTCTGTCTCTGTCTCTCTTTCTCTCTCTCTCTCTCTCTCACATGCAACCAAACCTGAGGTTTCAAGGTTTGATTGTTTATCTGGGTTTAAACTAGGTTTATTGTACACAGATTGAGGAAGAAGATAGATTATAACATATACATTCATCCAAATTCCAACATATTTAACAACTTTTGTCATTAAAAATAAAGAGAAAAATTTGAGAGAAGTTAACCTTTGAGTTTTGGATGAGGCACAATCTCCAAATAATCATTAAAGAGAAAAAAATAAAATAAAAATAAATTTGGCCAACTAAGTGAAGGATGATGATTTAGAATGAGCATTTTTTGATAAACTATTTTGGTTCGAGAATGATTAAGTTGCTAAACTTCGATATAGTTTTTGGTCTTATAGGTGATGAGAACGCTAATGTTTTTGGATAGAAACATTTGAACAATAATAGATTATGGTGCTGCTGCTGTTTGAGGAAGCTGTTAAAGGAACTCATTGTTGTCGATATGTAAGCATTGAAGCCCTATTTTGTTCATAGTCTATTACTTTCATTCGATGTGTAAGCTAATAGTGGTGTTGCAATAATCATGACTTTGGTCTTGAAGAATAGCAATATGAATTTTTATGTGTACTATTTTGGGCTACTGAGGCACCAAATGTTGATCTGTGTCTCTTCTCTACAGAAACTCTTTCCAATATTTCTTCTTCTATTCAGTAAGGCACTAAATGTTGGCAATGGACCATATTTTCTTATTATTTTATTTTCTTAATCCATTAGAAATTATAGCAGTGTGCTTGCAGCTAGATATTGATAGTGGCATGCAACAAAGGGCACCGATTTATGCTATGAATTAAAGTACTTTTTATTGATATTATTATTATTATTATTATTATTATTATTATTATTATTATTATTATTATTATTATTATTATTATTATTATTATTATTATTATTATTATTATTATTATTATTATTATTATTATTATTATTATTATTATTATTATTATTATTATTATTTCCATTTTAGGTTTGATGTCATGGTTATATCTTGAGAGGTACTTTATTATATAGATTTGGGCTGCCATTCTCTCTCTCTCTCAATCTGGGTTTATTTCCTATTCTTCAACTGGTTTTCCACTTGGGGTTTCAATATGTTTCTGCCTTTTCCCTTCTCTCTCTGTTTTTTTCAGCTCTAATGGTTGTGTTTGTTTCCCTAGCATTAAGCAATTGTGGTGCTGCCACTGTTGGGAAAATTGTAAAACACATGCTGCTGTTGGGAAAATTATGGTGTTGTTGCTGTTGGGAAAGAATCGAATTGTTTGAGGGATTTAACCCATGTTAACTAGGTAATTTGATTTCTCTTTCTCTCCCTTTCTCTCTATCTCTATTTCTTTTTGGCTCTCCTTTCTGGAATAGCTATGCTCACATTTTCTGCCAAAAAAAAAAAGAAAGAGTATGACGAGTAATTGAGTAAAAAAAGAAGAGTAATTGAGTAATTGTATGTGAAATCTGACTTCTTCCATGATTTTTTTTTTCTTTTGAAGTGTTGGTGCTGTGAAATGTTCTATTTCGGGGTTGGAATTGGATTGTTTTACTATGAAGCTTTTGGGTGGGGCTGTTGGCAAAATTGAGGGTTTAGTTGAAGTGCTGGTAAATTAGTGTTGCTAAAGTGCTAAATTTGGAGTTTATTTGGGTTACTAATAAATTGGTGTTTCATTTGAGTTTCATAGAATTTTGTTTCTTCCTGTGAATTCACTCCCTACTCTTTCAAAGGAAAAATAAATTGTGCTGTGTTGTGTGACTCTTTTGGGTGTCTGTCCACTTCAGATTTCTTTTGCTGTGTTTCTTTACATGTTTGTACCAACTGTTTTTTTTTTCTTTTTTAATATTATAAAACTTACAGCTTTCTTGCTATTTTGAGGTTATAAAAATATATAAGCCTTTGGTTGGATTGCAAAGGGTGAGAAAAGAATGGAAATGACACAACACATCACATTGGTTTACTGCATGTAAAGACATTACTGTCATGGATATAAACTGTAAGCTATGAGATTGAGGCCCTTGATCACCCATTTTGATTTATTTTAATTCATTTTGAACCATAATGCATCTTGTAGGTAGTCTGCAGTTTATGGAAAATTTTACTTTCCTGTATGATCCAAAGGTTTAGTCATGAAATTCTTGGGGTTTGTTTAGAATTTCTTGGGTTGTGTCTGTTTGTTTTGCCTCTCCCCTTCTCTCTCTGTTTGATTGCTAACTATTAAACCTATTTTGCTATCAGTTTCTTTATTTTCATTTTGGTTGTTTTAGGATCCGTTTGAGAGTGGAATGAACAAGAGCCTAATTTCCTCATGCTACGAACAATTAATCAAGCTGTCATGTGTTTGAATGTTTTTGTTGTTTTATTTTATTTAAATTTTGTTCTTCACAAATTTCACAAATTTCAATTACATTTTGATCCTAACATTATTTACAATGTTGCTTCAGTTGCCTTCATTATTGCTTATAAAATGTTGTTGTCAGGTGTATTTTATTGCTTTAGAATTGCCAATTACATTATTGCTTTACTTGCCTTCTCACCCTCTGTTTCTTTCCAGTCCGACAAAGGCAATGGAAACTAAATCTATTCTAATTAGCTTCCTTTGCTATTTTTTGAATAGAACTCTCTGGTGATCGTTCTTGAATATATGTGTGAGTCTATAAAGTTGGATCAAATTGAGTTTTCTCAATTGTGTAGTTGTATAAATTATAATTATAATTTGATCCTAACATTATTTATACCGTGCCATCAGGCACTGGCATACGCTAGTATTATAATATGATACATATTATAATGTTATACATTTAACAAAATAAATACATATTGAGTTTTAAAAATTTTATTTTTCCATGTTTTGTTAATTTTAATGCTTTTTTTTTTCTTCATATTTTAGTCATTTTAAAAAAAATTTAAATACTCATATAATATAAATAGGAAGAATTACATATTAGTGAAGTGATGGTTTGGAAAAATATTTACAAAAAAGTGATAAAACATTGTAAATATTAATAATTAAAGTTATAAATATTTTCACTTTTTGTAATAATTTTTCAAAATTACTAATTTCCCCATCTAAATATATTTAAAAATAAAATATTTATAAAAAATATTTTAAAAATTCAATAAATACACAAAAAACTGATGCGCTAATTTTTTTAAAATCTCAAAAGTAAAAAGTAATTAAAATATTAAAAATTTTAAAATACAAATTAAAATTTTGAAAACTATTTTAAAAAAGTTCAAAATCAAACAAAATGATTATTATGAAATTTTAAACTAATTTGAGTGAAGTTATAAAAAATAAATTTACCACATCATACAGAGACATCATCAATACCATCAAAGAATTTTAGAAAATTTATACTCCAAAATTAAAATAAAATAAAACTCTAGCTAAAAAGTAACAGAAAATTCACTTTCCTTCCCCCCCAAACAGCAAAAGCTCTCTCTCCCTGTCACCATTAAGATCAAATTCATCATCCAAATCCGAGTTGCAGACACTGAAGACACCTTAAAGACAATTAAAAATTACCAGACGCATTTATATTTCTCTTTCTCTCTCTTTCTGTGCGTGTTTGATAATCGAGAAATGAAGGATGATGATGCCCTACCAATATCAACACCGACTGCACATACACATACACATACACACACGCATACACAGAAAGAGACCTCCGATTCGAGTCCATTCGGTAAAGGCCGGTACAAATTCTGGGCACTATCCGCCATCTTGCTTCTGGCTTTCTGGTCCATGCTCACCGGCACTGTCTCCCTCCGGTGGTCCGCCGGCAATCTCAACCGCTTCTCCGATGACTTCGACATTCCCATCCACGACGATCTCGACGTTCTCGTAATTCCTATTCTCTCTCTCTCTCTATATATATATATGTGTGTGTGTGTGTGTGTGAAACGCATGTAATTGAGAAATGAAGAAGATAGAATGGTTGAAATTTTGAGAATCTGAATCAAAATTTTCACATATAGGCAATTTTCAAAATGTCTTGTGCATTTTCGAAATAGCAGAATATGTGACATCTATGTCAAGTCTGGTTGGCTTTATAGATAGTATAGAAGTATAGATATGTGTACATAGAAGCTGCATTTGCAAACGCGATGATTGTGCAAATACATGTAATTGAGGAATGAAAAAGATGAGAATAGTTGAAATTTTGAGGATTTGAATCAGTTTTTTCACGTAGGCAATTTTCAAACTGTCATGAGCATTTTCAAAATAGCAATTTTTGTGACATATGCACTAAGTTTGGTGTTGGACTTATTTAATAGAACAGATAGTATAGATATGTGTATACAATGATGTAGTTGTGAGTGAAGTGGATCTTGTTTGAACGGTGTGAGACAGGAAATGGAGGAGAGAGAGAAGGTTGTTAAGCACATGTGGGATGTGTATACAAACAGCCGAAGGATCAGATTGCCTCGATTTTGGCAGGAAGCGTTCGAGGCTGCCTACGAGGACTTGATGAGCGATGCCCCTGGCGTTCGAGAGGCTGCGATCTCCGACATCGCTAAGATGTCTTTGCGGTCCATTGATTTTGAGCTATCTCTACTCCAATCATTGGTTGGTATCTCTAACTTGCTGCTTTACAGCAATTTTTTTTGAATTAGTTGTTATTTCACAACTTGTAGTTTAAATTTTGATTGATTTTAAATATCTACAATCTGCGTAGTTCTGTTCTCAGCTTTTGTAATGTGTATTAATATGAATTTGATAGGTTGAGAAATAATCAATTTTGGTAAGAAGTTGGAGCATGCAGATATGACGCACATCTAACTTGTAAGGAACATCAGTGAAAGCTATAAAATTAGGGCATATTATGGCCATGATAAAATAATTTAAAACAACTTAATGTTGAGGAAGTTCAAGAATGTTGTTGAAGCCGTAAATTAGGCTGCTAGCAGGTTGTGGCTGCTCATATAAGAATGTGAAATTCTGATGTGGAAAAATTAGGTTGTACAAGATTTCTACATACTTGAGAAATGATAACAAAGAAATGGATTGACTAGCCCAGTGGGGTGAAATATTGGGGAATAGAGTTGATGGGAAGAAGGCTTTTTATAGTCTGCAGCTTCAAAAGATCTGTTAGATTTGCATAAAAGAAAGAAAAGGAAGAGAACTGTATATTATTCACCCTCATAAACCTATTAGGGTTACACATACTTATAATAAAAGACTAAAGGAACAAAAGACATAACTATCCTTAACTACCCTTATACAATAATACTTAACAAGATCTTTGTTTGCTTTCCTGCCTAGGCTGTTTAGAGCCAAAATATGTATTCTTATCTAGCAAAAATATATGCACACACATTTGCAGCTAGTTTCACAGGCCTGATGGACTGTTCAAGACACTGATTAATAGGCTGATTGCAATCGGTTTAGACTTCTCTTTGATACTACTTTATTCACAATAGTAAACTTTAGTTGAGTTTTAAGACTTCAAAATTGTTTGAATGCCAATTCTATGTATTCAGATATGTATGCATGTCTTGTACTGGTATTTTCTTTTTTGATTTATTTTGATTTTTATCATTGTTCAATATGCTCTCATTTATCAAATTTGTTTTCAAATATTCTAAGACTATATTTGTTTGCAATATAGGATTAGAGGGGATAAGTAATGCTAATACCTTTTGATAATGGATCGAATTATATATAGCATGGGACTATTTTTTTTTTTTTTGATTGAATTACTTGTACCATGTTTGATTAGTTGGTTATGGCGATGATGGGTTAAGATGGAAACAATTTGAGTGTCTGAGTTTGGTCTGGATTATCATTTTTTCCTGCATCAAATGTGGCATAATGTGGGAGTGGGACCCCCAGGATTGATCCCTATTCCTACGGTCTATGAAGCACGGACACCTCTCTGAGGGCTCCATACCAGTGTCGGACACGCAGAGGACACACGTCTGACATGCAACAGAGAGTGTCCCTTTTTTTTTTTTAATTTTTTCACATCTGGACACGTTCCGGACACCTTATAGACACTTTCGGGACACGTCGGGGGTAATTTCACAATTTACAAAAAAAATTTGGGGTCGATTTGTAAATAAGTAAAAACATATCAGCCCTAATCTACTTCGATTAGAACAGAAACAGCATAGAAAGGGTGAGAAAGAGAGGACCTGATTGATTCGTCGTTCGTCTTCTCTTCTCGTCGGTCGTCGCTCCTCGTCGGTCGTCTCTCGCCCTTCGTCGTTAAGGTACACGCTGCTATTCTTCTTCGATTTTCATTCTTCATTCTTCATCTTCTTCGGTCTTCATTCTTCTTCGTCTCTCGTCGGTCGTCAGTCGCTATGGTGTTTCAGCCCTCTCTTTGACTGTCGATATATCTTCCGTTCTATTATATATTTTATACTAATAATATATATACATAAATATATATTTATATACTAATAATAATATACACTAATAATAATAGTGTATATATATTATATATTAGATATATATTTGAACAAAAATCTTTTTTTTTCTTCTTTTCCTTTTTTCTATTTTTTGGATATTATTATTTGTTTAAATAAATTATTTTTATTTGTAAGAAAATTTTAATTTGTGAATAATATTTGATATTAAAATAAATAAATAATATTTATATTTTTTAATTTTACATATAATAAAAAAATAAAATTATATATACTGAACGTGTCCCCAGCGTGTCGTGTCTCCTATTTTTTGAAAATTTGCGTATCCCCGTGTCTGTGTCGTGTCCTGTGACCGTGTCCGTGTCCGTGCCCGTGCATCATAGCCCACGGTCATTTTCCCAAACAAACAGGGCCTAAGGCTATGATTTAGGGTACTATTGGAAATTAAACTTATTTTCTCCAACTTTTGTTTTTTCCTTCTAGGGACCTTTTTGGATACTATTTTCAAGTTTAGAGATGCAGCTCACAAGGTAGTAGTTGTTTTATTTAGAAATGCCATGCTATCATTTTTCCCAATTTAAAGGAAAGCATGCTAACACTCACCATGGTTGCATCACTATTTTGCGGTGCTGAAGGGGGAAAAAATCTTATTTCTTATTAGAAACTGCCTTTTCATTGGTACAAACAGCTTTAAAAGTGTTGAAATTTTCTTACCCATTAATGATTAAACCATGGTACTTCACTTCACTTTCAAGACTTGGGTCAATTTAATTTGTTTGTATGCTTATTCTAATTCCTTCAGCCGTAGTAGCTCTGATGATGTGTTATGAGAAAATGCTGACATTTGTTTGTTTGATATGGCTTGTGTTAAAATCCACCTACTCTCCACCTACTTGACCCACTTAAACCTACTCCACTAAACCTAACCCACTACACCACTACCACCTCACCTACTCCACTAAACCTAACCCACTACACCACTACCACCTCCACTTCACCTACTCCTTACCTACTACACACTCACCCTCTTCTATATATAGGAATCATAAATCATTGTAATAGATATCAATATAAATCAATCAATAATACAATTCTCTATTTCTCTTTATACATTAAATTTCTACAGCTTGTGTCAGTATAATTTGCTTAACTTTATGGATAGTTTTGGATCGCTAAATTCAAACATAACAAACTAAGATATAGAAAGAGTGGATTTTTTAAAAGAGAACAAATTTAAACAAACGGTTAATTACACAGATGTTCCTTAATGTTTCTGACAATTATAGGAACCTCTACTATAGTTTCTGAAATTACACTGCCCTCCCTTGTCAGAGTTGTCAGGTGATAGAGTTTAACAATAAATGCGCAATTACCTTTTTATCACTTTATGAAAACAAATTCTCATCCCTATGTTTATGACCGAACATACACAAACTAAATTCCATATTATTTTATTCTTATAACCAAACATACCAATTTCAATTTATTTTTTTAAAGTACATCCTTAAAGAAGTAAATCTAAGAAATTTTAATTAGGTGGTAATGTTTGCTTTTCTTGTGGGGAGGAGCCATGTCTTGGTCCTGAATAATTAATTGCTCCAGTGGTGATCAAAACTCTCCATTTTTGCAATCCAATCTTTTATTGAAAATTGTTCGCTGATTATGATATATTTGTAAACTCCAATGAAGAACTTAATAACTCTACCCAATTGGTATGGTTTTCTTTTCATCATTTTGTTTTGGATTTTTTTTTTTGTTTTCTGATTTTTCTTCCCCATACAAATGATGAAGATATTGGAAACACTCAACTCAACAAGCCTTTGTCTCGCAATTTTAGGGGTTGGCTGCACGAATCCATTTCATCCAATTGGTTTTATTCATTGTAAACACAGTTGTTATAAAATAATGGTAATTTTCTAAGTGGACTCAAAAGTTTTGAAGCTCAGAAAATATTTAAAAAATGTTGTACAGAAAATGAGTTTTTTGCAATAAATTTTAGCAAAAACATTTTCAGAAAAACTTCCACCTGTGTTATTTTAATTTTCTGTTCATGAGAATGGAAAACAGTTTCCCAAAATGATAACAAAGATTTTTGTAACATACCATCTAATTAATTTTTAGTTGTTTAATTGCATCCGGGGACCCATCAAGAGGGGGATGTTGTCCGAATGTATGCCTGAAGCCTGCAATGGCCTACTGGCTGGCATGCACTAGCAATTGTATTACGGTTAATGGGATCCAACCCTAGTGAAAGAACCAATCAGGGAGGTGGGTAAAAATACTCAGGATTGGCTGTGGGATAATACTATGTACTTCAGTATCTTCTAACTTAAAGTCTGCTTCATTGTGTGCTCAGTTTTCTGAACCTTCTTCTAGAACTTGATTGATGACATTATGGGACATGAAATATTATTCTGTGGGCTGTGGCCATCATAAATGAGACACTCATCTGCTTATTTGCAAAAAATGATCACTTATACTCAAATAGCTTGAAGGTCTGTACTGTACTCGTTAGCCGTAATTTGAAACTTTTGAAACGTATGCTTCCCATGATGCATGTTAGGCACTAGACTTCTCCAGGGTTAAACTATTGTCCCAAAAATGTGTTTTTTCCTTTTGAACGCTCCCAAAAATGTGTTTGTCTCTCACTTTTTGGCAGCAGTGGACAAATTGTAGCTTGTCCTTCACAGGGAACAGAAGGTTGGTTAGAATTGTCTCAGGGGTAGTTGGTAGCCTTCTCTCTTTGATTTTCCCTTAATTAGGAACATTTACTCTATCTAGCAGATTTTCCAGGGCAGCCTTACCCTTTGCATACGTGTTGCGAACATATAGTACATAGATTGCATTCATTCCTCTAGCAAGAAAGAAACTGTTTAGGCATTAATAGTCTCCATTATGCAAGAAGAAATTAGTTAAAATTAGAGAACTGGATGTTGTGTGGGGATGAATTCTGCAGTAATAGAATTGGAGCTCTGTGAGTGACCAAAGTGATCTAGGAACCGTGACCTGGAAGCCAGAGAACACCATAAGTGCTACCTGGGCGGAATTTGACTGGAGAAGCCCTTCTGATGCTAAAGCCATGAATCCAGGAAGAGGTATAGAGAGCAAAGCGATGCAGTGAATTAGGGTTCAGAGAGTTTCAACGTATCTTCCAAAGAAGACGAAGTTTACCTTTTATAGTGCTCCTCTATTGCTTTCCAAGATGCACATAGGATAACTGCCTCGTGTGTCCCCTGCTCAGGTCATCAACGTGCCTAGAGTAGAGGGACCACAATTCTGTTAGCTTCCATGATGGCAATCTGTTTTCCCATGAGACTCCAGATTCTTTCTGATCTAACCTCATCCAATATCTTAGAGCTTCTAGCGACATGTACTTCTCCATGGGTAAACCACCTCCAGTCTACGTGGGCACTCTGATTTATGCCTCCTGAATCCAACTATGCTTGCAAGTATTATCGCTCCTAAGGGAGCAAGGTCCAAGTTGGGTCACCCAAGCATGATCAACTCGGCACATGAATGGTTTAGCCAGTTGGAGATTGCCCTGGCCCTTGCTAGACCACTCAGCCCTGTTTCTGCTCGGCCTAGGTCCACTGAGAGATCTGACCCCCCAAACAGGTGCTTGACCCAATCTATCTTCGCATGGTCAGTTTGACCCTCCTTAGACATAGTGTTCTCTTCTGGTAGTTTTCAAGTTCCAAAAAAAAAATATGTAGTTTCGAAACTGCATCTTTAAAGATGGATACAGCTAAAAAAGAAAAGAATCTATATATTTTTTTTATAGAATCAGGAGGGGTTGTTAATGTGAGACGATGCAGTTCCTTATAACTACTGTATCTCTTTTTCCGGGATACACAATCAAATAACCTATTGAAAGGATCATCTAGCCTGGCATTTGGAAATTCTGGTCCTGTGACTTATTCTTGGTTATTTCTGCTTTCCATTTATATCTCTAGTTGCTATGTTTCTGGTTGGTGCGTTCTCTTGCATACAGCAAAATTAGTGTAAAATTTGCAGATTGCTCTTTTTATTTTTCATGGTTGATTTGTTTTGTGATGATTATATATACAGAAATTCCAAGTGAGATTTGTATGATTATCGGCTTGTGTTTTTTGTACCTTGTCAGCGCACACACGAACTAAGTTTGAAGCAAGGAGTGAGAGGCCACAAGGGGGCGCTTTCAGGTGGGAGTTGGCTATGACTCGGTGAAGTTAAGGATGCAAGCCTACAAGTTTCCATTTTTCCGTACTCGCTTCATCTCATCAAGTTGCTGACATGCGGCCCAAAGATGTACTTTTTGAGCAAAGAAATTTGTGTTTCATACAGGAACCAAGATGTATTTATTCGATTTTTTTTTTTTTGGGGGGGGGGGGCAAAAATATAGGGAACCCTGCTAAGTGGGTGGGAAAGTGAAACAACCTTCTGAGTTAATGAATTCAAGTAAAAAAATTAAAATTTTAGATCAATTTTTAATTTTTTTTTACAAGAATGTCTTTCTACATGAATGTTGGGGGGATGTATAAAGGTCATTTGAACATTTATATTCCTTGCAGTAAAGCATATTTATTTTCTGTTTCTTTCTTAATTGAACTAATTAATTACGACAATGGTAAAGACATATGAGTAATGTTAGAGATTCCAAATGTTTTATCTAATATCTCACATGAATATGTGATTTATATAGAACTCACATGATATGAGTCTCACATCTATATAAGATATTTGATAAAACATTTAAGATTTCTAATATTTTTTATAGACACACTATGAGGTTGTTTGAGATGTCTTAAATAAGTGTACTTTTTGTCTTTTTGGATTAAAAAGTTGAGGAAAAAAATGAATATTTGGGTTAATTTTTTGACTTTTTATAAAAAAAAATGTGTATTAAAAAATTGTATAAATTAATATGAAGGAAAAGTTTTGACAATGTAGGCTGTACGGTGGCAGCAAGTTTGCCGAGTGGTGTGATAGGAAATTGTTGTCTCTTTTTTGGACAACCATTTGGATGGTGCTCTTTGGCCAGTAGAGGTCCACCACGGGTCCCGTTTTGCTAATCGGAACCGTTCAATGTGTGGGTCCCGTTTTGCTAATCGGAACCGTTCAATGTGTATAACTCGTCGAGTATTATACGTTTGTTAAAAATCACGTTGATCGGATATCTATAACTATCTGATCGGATTAGTTTTTTTATCAACTGTTAACTATAATGCCATTCATTTTTTACACAAAACTGATTTGATCATATAGTTACTGATATTCGATCAACATGATTTTTAACAAACATATAGTACTAGACGAGTTCTACATATTAATCGGTTCGGATTATCAAAATTAGACCTGTGGTGGGCTCCCATAGGCCCAACATTACCATTCAACTTAGTAAATATATATATGTAATTTTATTTTTTTTTGGGTTCCTTTCACAGTACAAATCAGCATCAATTCAGTACCTTTCACTTACAAGTTGGTTTGTATTAAAAGATTATGTATATTAATTTTTTTATATTTTTAATTTGTGAATAATAATGATTTTTTAATTTTTTAATTTTTTTTTGGGTAAGTTTTTGACTTTCTGAATTTTCCATAACAACCCAAACCAGGCCTATGAATCATCGTAAAGAATAGCAGGCTCACTGATGGGAGGGTTTAATGCACATCACAAGGTAGGTGTGGGACCGACCTCACTTGTGCAAGATAGTCATTTACGTGGTGAAAGTTGCGGTGTTATTAGCGTTTTACATGGTTACTTTGTGACCTCTGCCGAACAATTAAAACCTAACATTTGATAAATCTCCGTATGAAACATTTTTTAATAAATGATAATAATCACTATGAATAATACATATATTCTCAGGAAAATGCTAGAGGTTCCAAATTTTTTACCAAACAAATGACTAAATGTTACAAAATTGTGGACCCCACACCTATGTGAGACATTTGGTCATTTGTTTGGTAGAAAATTTGATGTCCCTAGCATTACTCATATTCTCAACATGTCAAACTTATTCAATTCAATAGTTTCTTATCTTATTACTTTTGCAATCAAATCATCCTTCTTGAATTTTGAAAAGAAAATTGAAACTCACAACTCTCCAAATACCGTGACCGATCTATCCACATAAATATCAAATTAAGTGTTACAAGTTTGCCTAAAATACGTGTCCTACTTGTGACTCACATGACTAGGTGTAATTTTTTTTTGATCTATATATAGTGCTATATCTCATCCTTTTCTTAGTGTATCTTTAACCATTGTTGTTATAATGTTTTAGAGCATCTTCAACCATTGTTGTTATAATGTCATTGTTATTACTATAATTTGACAATAAATAGCATTATTTTGTCAAATTATAACAATGGTACTCCGTTATTAGGCAACGCAAGTTCAATACAACTGAAATCACTTGTCGAAACACCTTCAACAACCCCAGTTTTTATATCGTCCACCTCCATTAACCTGAACATTAAAAATAAAAATACATCAAATTACAATTCTAAACAGTTTTAAAGTACATTTGACTCTTTAAAGTAATTTTGCATTCCTTTCCACTAACAGTAGCAGCCACTAAATATATGGCACCTTTTTGAATGCTTCCAACATTTCCCAACAGCGTATCTTTGTAGTCCGTCCAAACATCAACTGGGAAGAACCGGTCTACAACTTCTATCCCGTGACGAACGTACTCTTTGTCCTTGCCACCAACGAGCTTGAATCTCATTTTCTTTAGCATCCGAAAACGGTCAAACTGGTCAGGATCAACAATCCAGGTCTCAGGATTACCCTCGCCAACTCCAATAAATATCTTGTCAGGTGTATGGACGGAGTCTGACGGACTATTATCACTGATGACAAAAAACAACACGTGGTGGACCACAGCTTCGTCCTTAGCATCCTGTCCCAATTGAACATTACCAATGAATTTGATACCCTTAACCACGATCTTGTCTGATTGACGGTCAGATCTCTTATTACCCAACTCAATACCATTAAGTAATCTCGCCACGCCTTTATTATCAAACTTAACGTCCCTTAATTGTTCATCGTATACCTGTAATTTCCTTACTCCCCTCTTAGTCTTCTTAATAAATCGGGGAATATTCTGAATGTACCATCTGCGAACATACTGGGTCTTAAAAGGTGCACGACTACGGTAACTACGCCTATATCCACTGGCCGCCGGTGTCCTTGACCTCCGGTACGCAAAGGGGGTCCGGTAATGGCTGCTTCCTATTCCTTCCATTTTTTATAAATAACTCCAAATCTTTTATACGAACACTTCTAAGGATTTGTTACCTCTGCTAACCCTTCTGTTCAGACACCTTAGCTTTGATATTTTTGCCCTCTGATCTTCGTACACCGGAACAAACTTCACCGGAGCTCTCTGTCGGCTCTCTTCCCACAGTCTTAGTTGCCACGTCAAAAAGCGATCTACACACATTTGAGTGAACTGCCCGTAATTCTCAGGATACTCTTCTAAGGAGTACAACATTGTATACCAAATAAATCGACAAAAATGGCAGAAACAAAAGGAGGGATGAAACAAGGTACTAGAAAATCACCTCAGTGTAATAACTCTCCAACTGCAAAAGCATATCTCTCATATCTCTCTCCACCGACAAATATCTGAGGCTGAACCCAGATATACAGACAGCCGTAAATACGGAGATTCGGAATTTAAAATTTGAATTCCCGCCCATTACGGTTCATTCACGCGAAATTCTGTACACCTTTGCTTTATATCCAAGCAAAACCACCACGACCTTTTTTGAAAAAATTCAAATACTAATTTGGTGTAAAAAAATAAGAGAAACACTCATTGTTTCCCATGGTGTAAATAATCAAAATATCTTAGTTTCTAATTTTTTTTTTTTTTTAGAAAAAATATTATGAAAACTCGACCAAACAACGTGTTTTTTAAAACAAGTGGGGCGATGGCTAAAGGGCAGGAGGCGATAGCTAGATATGGCTACTAGCAGCTGCAAAAGGTGGGGGACTCGTTGGAAGTAGTGGCTGGCGGGGGGTGGTTATTAGTAATAATGGTCAAAAGTTAGCAAATTGAAACTATAACGATTAAAATGACATAAAGATCCAAATATAGGAACTATCAGCGTAATTTACCCTATTTATTAATTTTGAAAATTGTTTCGATCATCTATAAACCCCGAACAATTTTTTTTTTAGTTTTTAATTTTTTTTATAAATAAATATAAACATAAACATTATGTACTAAACCAACATATTTGCTTTGAAATTTTATGATGCTTACTATGGGCAAAGAAAAGAGAAGAGAAAGTGAACCACAAAGCAGTGTTGAGTTGACTTTTCCAAGGGCCTCTAAATTTAGGATTGGATTGATGTTCCAAGAACCAAACAACAAACATTGTGTAAATCATTAAGAGAGCAGTCACAATCCACATCTCTATGGGCCCTTTTAATTCATTTCCTTTCTTAAATGAAGAAGTAAAAAAATGGGCAGAAAATAATATTTTGTTTGTAAGTCGAAATTGCGTTCAGTTCGAGTTATGTCAAAATTGTTGTCTCTCCGTTTGGAGGGAAGACGATTTCCTTAGATTAGGGATACACAAAAATAATATAAACAATTTATATACTGACGAAGAACTCTCCTCCTCCTCTGATAACAGGAACCAGAGCAGAGGCCCATCCGCCCAATCTCCCTCTACCTCGAAGGACCCTCAAGAACAGGCAAAACCGCCTGGGCCAGAAGCCTCGGACGACACAATTACTTCTCCGGCAGAATAAGCTTCAAGGACTACGACCAAGACGCCGTCTACAACGTCATAGACGACATCAAATACTCGACAGTCCCTACCGAATTAATGAAGAATTTAGTAGGCTGCCAGAGAGATTTCCATGTATTTGTTAAGTTCCAACCAGATCTCACTATTAGAGTAGGAATTCCTTGTATTTTATTAACAAATGGGGACAGTAGTTGGTTAGATGCAATGTCCCCATTAATGAGAGAATGGTTTGATGTTAATGTAACCACTGTTATGATTAATGAAAAATTTTATTAATTTTTTTATGAAACCACTCAAAGTTTTATTTACTTACTACATTTCCCTTATCATCCACTATTACATCTTGAGTCACATCACTATTTTTTACACTGACGATTACATTTCGTAAAACATTAGAAAATTCTGCTGCATCCATAACAATTGATCCTCTACGATCAACTTCCTCTTTGCTAACACCAACCTCTAAAATCGACGGACCAGGACCAGGATCAACATCACTAGATTCATCACCACCTCTGCGTACATCAATCTCTGACAAACTCAGACGACCTCTGCAAATATAAAAAATGAAAAAAAAAATTGAAAAATTAGAAAAAAAAATAA